ACACTGACACTACTGCTGGTAGCAAACAGATACGAGTCGTAGAAATCTGATTATATACAGATGAAATTTATAGAAATATGAAACCAAAACTACAGCCTTTGAATATAAAATGAAAAGAGATGATAAAGGCTAACATCAGCACTTTAAAGCCACCATTAGTGTCCACAGCCACAATATGAGCCTCCAATAGGATATTAGTCTTTGTAATAAAAGGAGAGTGGGCCTTGTCACACATCACATCCCACCATCCCTACTCTTCCCCTGCCAATGTGTCCATCCCTGTGTGATGCCATTGTCCAGATAACTGATGATATGGGGAGACGCAGCCTTTTGTGGGGCTGTGATGAAAAGGCTGTCTATGAAATGGTGCACTACGGGTGGGCCTGTGCTGCATCTTGGCAGATGCTGCGGCACGCCTCTGTGTGTGGAGACCTGCTGGAGGAGGCCGAGGACGCAGGGATGCGGCTGCTGCTGCTGCACAGCATCGATTAGACAACAGGCAGCTCGTCATGCTACAGCTCGCACAGCAACAAAAAAAACTGCATTTGCTGCAATATGACATCTACAGAGCTTTCTGGAAGGCTGTCCCTACACCCACGTCTGAGGGGGGAACGCTTCGTCGTTTGCGCGTTTCCTGCTGCGCTAATCGATTGCGATCGTCAACCTTCAGCTGTTACCGATGCGCACGAAGAAGAGGACAGAGTGTGTGGCTGGTGTAACACACACACACACACACACACACGATGTGGTGCTCAGCTTCGTGCAAACCGGAACACGACCATCACCTCAGCCTCCGATGCCCCTCACCATCACCATCATCATCATCATCATGGTACCCAGCTATACACCTCGTCCTTTGCGCATCTTTCTCCGCGGTCCCTCCTATTCTCAACGCTCCCTTTGCGCCACGCAGACAGCTACATAACGGCGCTGTGCGTGATTTCTGTGCGTTAGTTTCCTTCTGCTTGTTCGCAGCCTTGGAAGAGAGGAGCCCGGCCAAAGGCACCGCCCCAAGATCAAACAGTCCGCATTTCACACACAGCCACAATCCACCGCAGCGCCCCGCCGCCTCCCCGTGAACGAACCAACCGCACCTCGCTACATCTGAGCCGTGGAGGTGAGGTGAGGGACATGTCTGGTGAGAATGTGAACACAGGCTTTCTGGGCCTTGCACTGCCATAACGATGCTGGTCAGACAAACCCCGGCGCAGCGGTGGTTTTACCCCAGACATGTCTTCTTCTCACATGTCGTGTGCTTCCACACACACCGCCTCACCGACGCTGCATCTTTACTGCCAACATGCGCTTTGAATCACGGGGGCTCCGTCTATTGTCTGCGTGTCAGCGCACTCACACTGGCACAGTGATAACGGCAGTGAGGAGGAGAAAGTTGGTGACAAAGGAAGCTACTTACCGACTTCATGGCAGCTGCCATATCATCGTACCGCTCCGCCTGCTCGGCCAGCCGGGCTTTCTGCACCAGTTGCTCGCGGTCTACCATTGTGGCGGTGGTCGTCGTGTGCGCGTGGAGTGTGTGTGACACAGGGAGCGTGTGTGTGAGTGTGTGCGGAGCTGCGCTGTGTGTGTGGAGCTGGACGTCGTAATGTGAACGCGTTGGAAGCAGAGCGGAGATGAGGCTCCTCGCGCTGCAGCTGCTGTCTGTCCGTCTGTCTGACGCCCCTCCTCCTCCCCCTCCCAAACTCTCTCCCCCTGCTGGAGTCACCACCCACACGAGGCGTGTCCTCCCGCTGAGTGACAGCAGCCACAGATGTTATTACACGTTTAAAAGAGGAGGATTATCACACTGACTTCAGTTTGAACATGATGATGATGACAATGACATGAGGAATAGGAATAGCAGTAAGAATTACAATATAATACATCTATTATTTATAACACTCCTCAATACTAGTAACAAAGTGCTGTACAATAAACAATATTAATCTCACAAACAATCAGAATATAAATAACAATAATACTAACAATAATAATAATACAATGAAATGAGTAATAGTAATAGCAACAATAATTACAGTAATATAATACATCTATTATTTATAGCACTCCTCAATACAAGTAACAAAGTGCTGTACAATAATAACAACATTAAACTCACAAACAATCAGAATATAAATAATAATTATGTTAACAATAATAATAATAACAATGAAATCAGTAATAATTCTAGTTCATCTATTTGTATAGCACTCCTCAATACAAGTTACAAAGTGCTGTTCAATAAACATGTGAAACTCACAAGCAATCAGAATATATATAATAATAACACTAACAATAAGTATACAAATTGTAATGATAATAATATATCTATTTGTATAGCACCTTCAAATGTACACGGGATATGCAACATGTTCAATCTAAAAAACAGACTTAACTCAAATGATAAATGCAATCGTTGTCCCACAATGGGGAAATTTGCAAAAGTAAAACAAACAGTCCAAATGTACATTGAAGAATATGAACATGTATAATGCTCTCACAATGTTAACAAGAAACTGTTAAATGTGATTTGCAGATCATAAAACATAACATATTTCTGTTGCTTTAATAAAGTGAGCCATTGGGGGCCTATGCAACTATTGTATGTTTAAACGAAACAAGAAAATGTAAGAATATACATTTAATGCCATTGGCAGCACGGTGGTGCAGTGGATATTTACTGTCTTGCTGGCTTGAACCATAGTCTGTAAATAAAGATGGATGACGCATCTCCACTGCGTTCGAATACCAAATGATGCTAGCTTGTCAATGACAATGTCATCTGGATCTAAAGTCTGCTCAGAAGCTATCTCTCCGATAAACAGACTCAATCAGTTTCCAGTCAGTCTTAGCTGTCAATCATGACATTTCATTCTCTTTTTATTTAATCAAATAACTAATAAAACAACTTCAAGGAAAACACTTAAACATACATCAGTGTGATAAGAACCATCTAAAATGATAAACATCATTGACTGCATTCAACCACCAGGGGTCAGTTGAGGCACTTTGGCTTCACTTTTGGGAAGCAGTCCTTTTGTCTATCTTTATGTACAGTCAATAAACCAGCTCTGTGGAGTGTGCATGTTATGTTACATGTTCTCCTGGTTTTCTCTGGGTTCACTCCCACAGTCCAAAGATTGCAGGTTAACTAGAGACTTGAAAATGCTCATAGGTGTGATTGTGAGTGTGATTGTTCGTCTCTGTATGTCGACTTCTACATGGTGTACCCTGCCTCTTGGCAACTGTGCCCTTAAAGGATAAGCAGCATAGATTTTAATGTCAGATATTTATAATAATGATAGTAATTAATGAAACAGATTTCCCAGAAATGACACCGCACAGACAAAGCCTGTGTAGCTAATAAAGAAAAGACCCCTGTACCCTCAGAGCAGTTCTCATCTTGTGTCTGATCTAATTGCAACAGTATCATATGGAAGAGAAACAGCAAGCCTATGGTCCTTTAATATTAAAGAATTAATCATAACATGTATGCTTTTCACTGTGAAATTATACATTTTAATGTGTTTTTTACATTTTTTTTGAGTCTATGATTACAATATAGTATGTTGTCATACAACTGTGTATGTACACTCCAATTGTTTGTGAAACCTCCCTTGTTACCATGGATATAACATGTCCTAATATTTCTGTTGCTTGTAGTTTTAGTGGGTGTGAAACTGGGAATTAATGCTGATATGCTAAATCCTTTTATCATGAGTCATCAAACACACCCTGCAGGTCATTCTGCCTGTCTGTTCCCGCAGACACCAAACGGTTATGAAATGGATCAATCAGCTCCTACTTTGCTCTTTTTGTCTCTTTACCTTATTCATAAGTGTCTGAATGTGGTGTATTTTATGTAGAGATCAAATGATCTGTGATCGTATTTTACTTATCAAAAATGCTAATTTATGATCCTTAGCAAAGTATGACAGTCCCATTTTGAAGGCTTCTTCAAATGCAGCCGACAAATGTGTCCTTCCATCCTCGAGAAGTGAAGGCTGCAGCAGATATATTCTTCTTCTCTGCCCGACCTTCAGTGATGAACCGTTTTTCAAAGAGGTAATGACGATTAGGCGTCCAATGCTTCAACTCAACTGAACACTTAACAGTACACGTGTTAAAAAACCAAGGGGCCAACGTTAGCTCTGTAGCTAGGCAACGGTAACAAGGGCGGGACGAGTTGGAGATGCAGATCACAGAAATCCTCTGTAGTCCACACCATCTCATTTCGGTTCAGCCTTTGTGGTCTTCAAGGCTCACAAAGGGGGCAGTCAGGTGGACCATGTCCTCTGAAGGATGCAGCCGCTGATTTGAGACATAACAAGTGGCAACTGTTACCAACCTAAATCAGTATGTTATTAACCAACTTCATTTTATTATTGTTTTTATAATATTACAATTGTCTTGAGAACTAAGATAGCTCCTCCTCTCTAATTCTGATTAATCTCATTCTTTTTGTCTCTCTTATAAAGACATAATGCATTTACTAAAATCACCTTCTTTCAATAAATTCAAATGATCAAGTCTCCAGATGTGCTATTAAAATAATTAAATAATTAAATAGATGTACATGTTTAGTACAATGATAAAAGTAGCTATTGACTGTTTATACACCAAAATTATAACATATACTGAAAAATAATGTTTATTTTGTCACATGTAAATGATTAGTTACAGTTATTTATATGTGGTTTCACAGGACACAATTAACACATTAATAGATACTGTATATTCACAAGATGTAGCATTTATTTGTGGATGTTTCTGTTGCACTTCGTTGGTGTGTAGTATATTTGTTACTGAACAGGTAACCATGCATATTGTGAATTGTGGATCTGATGTAGAAAGTATATACATATACAGTTAATATCTTAACATTATAGGCAAAAGAAAGAGACACTGTAAAAACTGTGTACACTGTATTTTATGTCATATATTTATTTATAAAGTGCTTTATAGGCATAGATAGTAATAATATATAATCATGCTGGGGGTGGTGGAGTATTCCTTCAGCAACTCGAAAGCTGTTATTTACATTATATATACAAGTCCCATGTTGGTGACTCAACCTCCTCCTACCCATGGTGGAAATGGGAGTGTGGTTCAGCGGAAATCACGACATCGAGCAGGTGACGCCGGCATCTTCGGTGTGGTCACAGTTGTGCACTTCCCAGGATATATGGGAGCACTGCTGCAGAGAGGCCTCTGCACCTGTGCACTTCAGATTGTCCAGCAGGATTGCTCCATTCCCAGGCCCAAAGAAAGCCTCTACCCGGGCTGCTGCGGCCTCTCCGCAGCCCAGCTGGCGACACACGACCTGAGCGTCAGGGAGGTCCCAAGCATCATCACACACTGTGCCCCATGTAGAATTTGAGTACACCTCCACCCGACCTTCACACCTGTGCTGGCCACCAACCAGTCTCACCATTCCTTCAAAAAGCAAAGGAGAGTCAAACAAATATATATAAAAAATAATAATGATAATAAGTCAGTTTGCACTTATATGTGACACTTTTATGTAGCACTTGTGGTTTGGCTTTTCTGAAGCAAATTGTACTTGCTGTTCTGGGTTTGTACCCCCATGGTTGAATGCACTTATTGTAAGTCACTTAAATGATATGTAATGTAATGTAACAAAGACACTTCGAATGAAATCCAGTCTAGAGGAAATTAGTTGAAGATATGTTTGACCTACCTTCAGAGGGCTGTGTGGTGGTGGTGGTAGCTGTCTGTTCCGTTGCTCCAAAGTCACGTTGAACTCCGCCGTAAAAGTCAAGCGCTAGGAGAAGCAGAGAAATAGTAGAAAAAAACTGTAATCCTTTTGAGTCATGGGCATACTCAGGAAATATCAGATCTCAAAAGCATTAGCAAAGCTCTTTTATAATTACTCCACTGATCAATATAGGAAGCCGCTTGCCTGGTTCCCATGAGGAGAGATGCACTGCACTTTGCAGAGACATGTGTTTTTGTAATGTTCTTAATGCTTGCAGCCATCATTGTCACACAGAAGCATACGTTATGTCCTTGTTTCCAATTCTAATTACCTGCTAAAGGCGGACTTAATCTAGAGCACTGATTAAAACTGCTGCATTTAAAAATCAAATGTACAACCCTGTTCTCCTTCTGAACTGTAGCCAAAGATATGCCATCTAAGGAAAGTGTGTATGTGATTTTGCCTCAAAAAATTCAGATTTGGCCTGAGGGCATGCGGTGACACTGATGTGCCCTGACTCATCTAATGAATTTTTCTATGTTCTCATGGGTTGTCTCCTCCTCAGAGTACTACAGTCATGCATTGCAACCACACAGCTCAGCAGGGCGGGCTCAGACGACTCTGTGAGTAGGAAATGTTCTCTTTTAGTGGAACTAAAAACTGATGACTGAAGATTAATGTTTTTGAGATTGAAGAGTATCATTGTTTCTATGTTTTGTGTCATAAATCTGCTTAGAGTCAGGTCTTACATAGACAGATAACACCAGCGTCCTCATGATGACCACAGTTGTGTAGACCCCAGCCCAGGTGGAAGCACTGGGTGAGATCCCGTTCAAAGCCAGAACATTCCACGTTGTCCAGCAGGATGGGTCCATTGCCGTAGCCAAAGTAGGCCTGGGGCTTGGCGGCGATGGCAGGGCCACAGCCGAGTTGCCTACACACCACTTGGGCATTAGTTATATCCCAGCCATCGTCACACACCGTCCCCCAAAGACCTTTGTATTGGACCTCGACACGACCCTGGCAGCTACTGTTTCCACTCGACACGCGGATGGCTGGTTTGGCTGCAGGAATAAACAGGTTTGTACACCACTGCAAATTTTAGAATATGGGTGTCTCTGCTAAAAAATATGTATTATCAGCAGGTGTTAAAGACAATAATATTTTAATATGTATTTTGGTTTACAAAGAAGAAATCAGTTGAGTTTTGGTACCTTTTGTTTGAGCAGTTGTGGTAACAGTTGTCGTAGTTGGTGTGTCAGTGGCTGGAATAGTTTCTGTTGCTGGAGGAGAATTGTAATACAAGACAAAACACTTTAGTATCTTTGTATAAAGATTACTGAGGGATTATTCTGTCGCACACTTTCACCACCATGTTCTGCAGCACTGTGGCGCAACACATTGAAAGACAATCGGGGGAGAACTGGCTCACCCTGCTGGTCATTTGGTAAAAGTTCCCATTTTTTCAACTAGGGGAAAAACTTCAGCTAGACCTACTGTGCAGTATAATTGTATACCTTCAGTGTTAAATGTTCTCCAGTGTCCTCTCGGGTTTTGTGTCACCACAGGAGCCTCTGAGGTTAATCCTGAAGTGAACAGAAATGGAAATTAAATTGTTTCATAAGCAGCACAATTTCTATGATTTCCTTACAAAATCTATTTACTAGGAAAGTTCTATTAACACTATTGTTGCTCAACATTACTCACTGACTTATTCTCTAAATATGGTCAAGTTAGAGCATGGCTCTAAGTATAGCAATGTCACTGTGTGTTGTTCCCACTTTGGTCAAGAATGAAATTTGTGGATTGCCATGACATTTATTGCAGACATTTATGGTCCCCTGAGGATGACTAAATGACTGTCTTTGGCTATCGCCTGACTGTTCTCTAATAGCAACAAGATTCACAGTTGTATTTCTGAATGAAATATCCCAACAACTTCATCAGTGTTTAGTTTATAGTGCAAGTAGATGCAAATTATATTGTACAATTATTATTATTACCACTATTATTATTATTATTATTAGTCCTGCTTTACATTCATCATATTCTATGACTATGGGAGCAGCGTACCAGTGCAGGTGACTCCAGCATCCTCATGATGGCCACAGTTGTGTTGTCCCCAGCCCAGCCTTTTGCATTTAGACAGGTCCGGCTCATAGCCATAGCAGTTGACATTGTCCAGGAGAATCAGGCCGGTACCATAACCAAAGTAGGAGTTGCTGTGAGCGTTGACCTCCATACCACAGCCCAACTGTCTACACACCACCATGGCGTTATTTATGCTCCAGTCATCATCACACACTGTCCCCCAGTTTCCCTGGAAGTAGACCTCGACCCGTCCCTGACACTCAGAGTGTCCATTCACCAATCGGACAGCGCCATCTCCTACACCAAGAGGGATAAGAAGGGATTTATAGAGACTGATGTTCAGCACATTTTTCTATCTACTACATTTTTAGACCCTTTTTAAATCTATGTTAATGTCAAATGTGGTGATTAGGAGGTAACAGTAACTATAGCTGTTCAGATTGTGTGTGAGTGAAAGACGACGATGACTAAGAAACACTGATACAGAGAATAGAGAAGGGCGTGGGACTATACAATACATATTTTGGCTCCAGAATAAAGTTAAGGTGAACATCTGATATTGCACTCAGCACATTGTGTCACCTTATACCTTAGCACAGACAAAAACACACCTTTACAAGAGACAATAGAAATTCTCATGTGACCATCATTTAAGTAAATCAATCATCTCAATAGGTTTCACCAAACATCTAGCAAGATGCATCGCTTGTTAACTAAATAGACTCCTCTGAGGGGTAAAGGGGGAAAAAACAAGAGTGTATGTTTTTATTCCACGAGGCTTCCTGCATTTTGAAATCACCCTGACAAAATAAGCCAGCGTTCATTATTTAATGAAAGTGAAAATGTCCTTGTATTTTGTGGTGACATCTGGCGTGCCACCTGTGAGCTAGTTATGTGGGGGGTATGTGCCATTTGATTTTGACCCTGGATCATAAAAAAACTATTTCATCAAACTGTCCTGACATTTAATTCCTCTGAATACACAACATAGTTTTCTCTACTGTCAAAAAAGAGGTTATGCATTTTCTAATTTGAGTTGGAAAGAGATGACCACAAGAGTAATGCTCTGATCTTTTTTAGCACAGAAGCAATTCTGTCTTTATGCCTTTATGCTATTAAGCCTGATGGCATGAATTCATCGTCTCAGAGCTGGAGCACATATTCATTCATTTGTTTTGACCGTTGATTAATGCCACATGGACGTGAGCTTTGTGATTTGCAGAGAGCACATTTGATGCTGGGTGAAATGTTTATAGACCTGCCAAAACAGATTTGTTTGGCCACTAGGAGGCAGTGGAAACAAAAAGGAGAAAAATCACTGATATTAAATCACTTTTTATGTGAATGTGGCTATTACGTTAGCAAACTGTTGCCTATTAGCATTCAGAGTGTTCCTGTTCACCTGATGAATGAAGTTCTGTAAAGTTTAGGTTCTGATTTGGTCTCCAAGTACTCATTAGAGGAAATGTCTGCATCTTTAAACTATAATTTAGACACTGAAATCCACTTGCTGATTGAATGTATATGTCATGAGGTGGCCTTCGCTGATTCGTCAGGGTCCTGTCACCAGGTCACCTATCTCGTTTGCAGCTAATAACCATATTCTTCCTGTATTCGCATCGGCACGTGAATCCCCAGTGTGTGAGAGGTCACATGATGTCTTTGTTGCTGCAGCATAGTGGATATTCAAAGCTGCCAAAAATGACAGGGGGGGGGCATTGCTGTACAATCAACCTTTTCACATACAAGTGGTTATGTAATACATTGTTCAAATGTTTATTAGTGCATGTGTTTATTATTATCATCTTAGCCAATTGAGATAAAAGCAGGGGTGCACTTACGTAAACCATTTTTGTCCCAGGGTGGCGTGGCAGGACCCCCAAAGCCATTTGCCCCCACCATTGCTGGTTCTGACAGCAAAAAGAGGAAAACAGAAAAAGAAGATGCAGTAAATGAAAAGGAATTCTCCACTGTCTCAGCCAAACTAAAGTTTTATGAGGGCCTTACCTCTGCAGGTGACACCCACATCCTCATAATGGTAGCAGTTGTGGATACCCCAGCCCAGACTTCCACACTGGCTGAGGTCTGTTTCATGTCCTCTGCAGTCCACGTTGTCCAGCGCTATGAGCCCCAAGCCTTGTCCAAACCTGGAGCTGCTGCCCATCTCCACGGCCACCCCGCAGTCCAGCTGCCTACACACCACGTTAGCATCCACCATGTCCCAGTCGTCATCACACACTGTGCCCCACTCGTCGAAGGAGAGCACCTCCACTCTTCCCTCACACCTGTTGCGTCCATTCACCAGTTGCACTTTGAAGACACGAGCAGGCAAAACTGTCAAGGCCTCTCTATGACTGATTCATTTTGCTGAACACAACTGAAATTTCTGTCGTTGAGTGAAGTGAGGAGGTTCAGGTTGTGTGGTTAAGATCTTTGGCATTTGAAATAGAAAATGACAGACTTGTAAGCTCTAGTGTAATGATAGCAAATAGCAAGAAATGCATCCCTCTGTAATGAGTCTATTCCTACCAGGTTAAGCCACAAAATAAGCCACATGACTCCTTGGAATTGAAAGAGGTGGATGTAGGAGGGTGGGAGGTTGCATAGCAAATAAGTGGGGATTATGGAAATGGAGAGCTGGAAAGTGACCTTGTTTAAAAAGCCCCAGGCACTGATCTACCTCCTGTACTTTCTTTCACTGACACACAGCCGGCTACTGATCCTTGCCGTGACCTGGATGCAAACATGTTTTCCACTGATCATGTGTGTCTGGGCAGGTGGAGTTTTTCCCGTAGAGTTTGTTCTTACCTTGAAACGGCGTCTTCCCTGAGGTTTGCACTCCATTGGCTGAATCACGAGGGAGGAGGGGATATGGGAGAGAGGGAGAGAGAGAGTATGGCCAAATTATTTGTTGAAAGGAGGATCTTGGCCTTCTATAGTTACTGTACTCTATATCTACTATATCTATTTTCCTGTAACACTAGACACAGAGCGAAGCCACAACAGGAGGCCTGTTCAGACTGTTCACTTCACCAGTTACAACAGAATATGCTAACTTGTTCCATTCATTTTTAGCCATGCTAGCAACAAGGACAGGGAGGGAACATCAACATCTACCTATAATTCCACAAACATCTGTCTGTCAGTCTGTATTTGAAACACATATCTCAAAAACTGTACATCTTGTCGATTTCCCACTTGGCATGTGTATTGTTGACGGCCCAAGGAAGTACAGTGAGTGTCGATTTCAGTGTGATTTGGAAACATGATAACTTTAGAATTAATTAAAATTTAATAAAGAGGAAACCAGTGATCCATAACAGTCAGCAGGGTCGGGAAAGTGTGCTGTGGATAGAGTTAACATGGCTTCTTCTATGTCTTCGGATAAACTACTGCAGCAGTTGGAAACTGGGTCACATTGTGGGTCAAAATCGCCATCATATACTCATTTTACTTTTTTTATTTCACCACATTGGACGGACACACAGACATTCACGTACACTGATCTCCATCATGGCAACAATCTTCAAACAAATAACTTGTAGGGCAATTTGTCTTCAAATAGAAGCAAAACGTTGCTTGAAACATGTAACAATGTATGAAAACATAACACCAGTTAAGTAAATCATTCAAACTTATATATAAACCACACAAGTGGTTTGTAATAGAGCTAATTCTGTTTCATTTTATGAAAAACATTGATAATAAAGTCTTAGGATGATAATAGTGTTTTAACCTCACTCTGCACCATAGACTCTTTATGAAAAGCTGTGCACACAAACAATAAATAGTGACATTATATTGTAGCAGTGTTTGAGGAGATCTAATGATAAGGAATAATTCTTTAGTAGCCCTTCAGCATTAACACAGGCCAAGCAAACAGCTCATCCCAAACAGGCAGGTTCAGAGCGAGCACTGCGCTAGAGCTATATTAGGTGATTCATAACTTCTCCCCTATAGCTCCACCATCTGGTCATTAATTTAAAATTAAGTTTATGGCCAAATACACACAGAATTAACACGACAATCCCAATCCAAAGAAAAGTGTGTAAATTTGTGTCATATACATCTGATACATCTGAGATTTGATTGTTTCAACACAACATATATTTTCCCAAGATGTCACTGGAAGCTGATTCTGAGCCTCTAAAGAGGGCATCCCAGCGCCTGAAGACTTATATCTCAGGTTTCAAGAGCTCATAAAGACACCAGAGGGATTTTTTTCAAGCATCCCATCCAATGTAGGCCAATTCACAGGCTTCTCCCATTTGTTTATGTCAGTGGAACATATACAGTGTATACATACAAAAAGCTATCATTTTTTTTAGCCTCAAGTTATAATGATACACCTATTTACAGTGTCACATGCAGCTTCTGCTCCAGTTTGTAGTCTGGGAAGACATTATTCCTATTTTACAAAGAATCTGTGAAGTCAATATCAAATGTCACTTACTTGATACAGCACGCTTGTTTATTTTCACATCCCCTGAAATTAGAAGACAAACAAAATGTTAGTAAGGCACAAATTTGGATAGCTGCTGGCTCTGTGAGGAGACAGAACCAATGAGCTGATGTCAGCACATCTGATGTCTCTCTCTATATGTTGATCCAGAAATGTCCAGTGAGTGGAATTGATCCTGGTGCCCTTCAAAGTAACCGCAGGGCTTTCAGCCAGCCATCACTGGTAAACACAGGCCAGACAGTAACTGTGGACACAAAGGCAGTGATCTACAGGGAGTTCGATTCCAGGTACACCCGGTTCTTCAGCAGTATTAACGCCTCCAACGTGTGGATGAGCAGTGACACACAAGAAATTATCTCATATGTCACATTCTGTCCCAGTTCATGCCAGTAGTCATCATTTTCCCTTGAAACCAACTTCTTAAATGTGATGCTTCTCAAACAATATTTAGTCCTTTGACTGGATTTGCTTCGAGAATGTTGATGAGTCTTATTTTAAAAAGTTTTATTGAAAAAAACAAGGGCACAGGAGACAGTAAATGAAAGTAGTACCGCAAGAATCACTTTCAATCTTCGTGTAACCTCGGCCATTAAATGAAATATTACCCCTTAAGAAATGATATAGCTGCTCTACTCATGACTTGCCTTTGAGAACTTGAGACAAGTGCAACAAACTTTTAAGGCCAATTACTGTATATATATATATATATATATATATATATATATATATATCCCTTTGTTCCCCTAAATTATGAAAATACAATGAAAAATCTATTCTCCCCTGATCACTTTTATCACAGCCATTAAGATGTAAGCCCACTCACTCACCGAGTCGCAGCAGCACACTGACGGCCACCAAGATCAGGGATCCCAGCAGAGTTACCAGGAGCCAGACGGCCGGGTTCCAGCACCTCCACTCGCTCTCCACCACACGCTGGCTTCGCATGGCTGCCTGATTGACCATCTGCCTGAAACACACACCGTCACACACTCTCATCCGGCTCCTCAAAGTCCTCACGCACTTCTAAAAGTTGTAGACCAGAATGTGATAGTACTACAAAGCAATCACTACTTTTGTCCTGCTTCAGAGTAGCCTAATTATAGTATTGAATTGTTTTGGCTGATGGAGCCTGCAGCTATTGTCATTGTGCTGTAGTAAGTATTGATGGTGTAATCTGGGGGCCAGGCTTTGGGAAATGTGTACCTCAAAAACTGTTTAAGTGTGATGTACATCACTGCGTATGAAGTTGTTTGGATGTTCTCAAGGCATACAATCTCTTCTGGGAGCAAACCAGGAACATGTGACAAAGAGTTTGTGTTTCTCCAGACATGAGCATGTGCTACCAACTAGTTCTGCTATTGCCAATAAAACACCAGGGAGTTGAGTTTCATTGCTGTTTTGAAAACACAAAATGGCTGCCGTGCACCGACCTGGCAGCGGATAACGAAGGCTGCAACAAGAGGATCAGGGTGGAGTCTGCTACACTGAGAGTTCTAGAGCTGAGGAAGGTTAACGTCCGAGCTGGCCAGCATCATCAACAGCTGGGGGAGGCTTGTGTTACAGACAGAGGCAGGCACCTGCCTTTGTGCTTTTCAAGGGGATTTTCCTCCAGACAGAGAATATTGGGATTCACAGTCAATCACTCAATAATCAGTGTTAGATAGGAATATGGCAGACACTCAATACCCTGCATTCTTCACCACTAGGAAACTGAGATGAAGGACATTTACATTATACTGCAAATGGATTAAAATTTAGAATGTCTAAGAAAAAGGAAGTGTGAGGACATAATTGAAAATGGGGCTTTTTGGCAAGTTTTACCAAAAATAATATCAATAGAGTATTATACACTGAAAGAAAAATGTTGAACGAACTTCAATTTGTGAAAATACAATCACTTTAATTTGTTCGAATTCAAATTAAAAGTAATATTAACAAAATTCTGGGGGGGGGGGATATCGGAACTACTGAATTCAACATTTTTGTCCTTCCTTTGGCATAAATGTCCAAGAAACTAATTGGGGAGTGTTTTTAATCATATTGCTACTAAGAGACTATGATGTGTTGTTCAGCCTTGTGTTGTTTGTCTCTTCACTCGTGCAGAATTCCCCCCTGACCTTACACAGGAATGTGTATTAGGGGATGATGAGGGGAGAATTTGATATTGGCCCCTCGAGATAGTGGACATTCCGAGCCCAGGGGGCACAAAAAGACATTTCTGCTTTCTGTGGTCCCCATCGTCAGGCATAAACTGCTGCTTCCTGCAATCTGTCACTAGAACCCTCCAAAACGCTTAGGCACCTGATGACACTGACTGCAGGGGCGCCTCTCGTCTCCTTAGTGAGCAGGAGGCAGGAGGAATAGGGGGCGGAGTGGTGTTAAAATCTTGAGCCATTGAAGAGTGTACAAAAAATCTCCAGTCCATGGAGGTAAAGTTAACACATTGGCACCCTTTTGGGACATTTGTGCCATGACAACACTAAACAACAGTCAATGCAACAACTATTTAGTTTTCATCCAGGCCCGGTTTCACTTGACTGTTGCATTGTCATAGGTTCAGCTCATGGGGCCAACAGTCCACAGAGAAGTAATTGTGCATCAAATTGGGAGGTGGGGATCTTAACACCAGCTCAGCGCTCCAGAACCACAGTTGCGGGCCGCATCAACAAACCATTCGAAACTCTGGGACAAATGGCTCAGTTATGGGATGAAAAATAATCTAGTCCCCAATGTTATTTTTTTCAATACTCCATTCATTGTAGGATGTAGCGCAGATCCGCTGGGGAATAATGTTGCCTTTTGTGTCGGCTCTGCTTCCCCTCCCTTCTCACTTCCCTGCACTGAGAAATAGCTGAAAGAGCTCAGCCTCACAAAAAATACCCCTTAATGTCTGACCAGAAAATAACACTGTCAGTGTCTTAAATGGAGAGAATCCTGATCCGTTTAAACAGAGAATCAATAGATATGTCAGCATGTTTATCTGAATGTAGCTTTTTATTGCTACGGTCCTTTTTGCAGTTTCATGTAAAATGTGACGAAATATAACAGAAAAAAATCATGTGTGTCCTTGATCGATATCAGTGTTTAAACAATTCCTAGAATA